CTGGGACTGTTCTTCTGAAAGTGCACATAATGTTGCCCCTGCCTACCTTTGCACATGATGCTGTCTCTGTATGGATCACACACATTATTGCTGTAGTCAGACCTGATTCCCCCATAAGTTATCTCCCAGATATTCAGTTTCTTTACATGTTTAATGGTGATAATAAAAACCTACCCCCTAAGGATGTGTGAGAATTAACTGAGATAATGCGTTGTAAAGTGTCAGGTGAGTGGCTGGTTAATAAATGGTTACTATGGTCTCTTTTCACCTCTCACAATATTATTCATCCTTTCAAATCCATCTCAATGCCATTCCCTTCAAAATTCCTTTCTTGACCTTCCCACTTCCAAATCCAATCACCTTTGTTCTTCTGAACTGCTATTAGGTGCTGTATGTCTCATATATTACTTGTCATTTTAGGTATTTTCATACTGATCACCCATATTCTTCCCCAACTGTAATCTCCAAGGAAGCAGGGATTAATACTAAGTCGTGGAGCAAGCAGGTGATAAGCAAATGACTCCCATGCCAAGAAATGAACCACAAGGATTTCTTGCTGATGTGGAGAGCTAGTGTGGGGAACTCAATCATGCAAGAGGTTCTCTAAGTCTGATATGAAAATGAACCTCAAGTCTTTATGAAAGTAAGAAATGACTACTGGCTTTTAAAATATAATTATCTAAATATGAAAGTCCTCATAATCACTATAGAAAAAAGTAACAAAATAAGGAGCATCTGTAATTATACCATCCAGAGATACCACTACTGAATTTTTAATTCTTTAATATTAATCCTTTTTTCCCAGGCATCTAAGTATAATATACACATAACATTTGGATTCTGTAGATGCATGTGTCAGAATTTTTCACATAACATGGGCGTGAGCATTTTCTCATGACATTTAATATTAAAAAATGTTAATTTCTGCACAAAGTGTAGCCCAATTTATTTAATTTGTTTCTATTGTTGGATGTTTGGACTTCCTCTTTTTCAGCTTTAAAAAAAGTATTATTAATATGCTGATAGAAATATCAGGATAGATTTCTAGATTTGCGATTACAGGGCCAACAGAATGAAAGAAAATAAAGGTTTTGGTTCTGAATTCCTGTTCAAGGAATTAAAACAAAAAGGTTTTGAAGTATGATCGGCCTTTACTGAGATACAATGGACATAAAAAAAAGCTGCATGGATTTAATGTGTACAACTTGATGAATTTGGTGATGGGTATGCACCTATGAAACCATCACCTCAGAAAATTTCTAATCGATTTTCAGTTTCACCAGCTATTCTAGCTCCCTTAGTAATTTCGGTCTCTTTTCCAGGAGTTGAGGTGACAACCAGTTTCAGGAGTGAAACAGTGATTGGATTCCTCATTTTAGGAAAGAACCTAATGCGAGAGTCAACCTCGCTCACAGTCTCAGCTTGCTCACATAACTCAGCTCACATTCCAGTGACCCTGAGGGTAAAGGTCACTGTAAGGCTCAGCATTTCTGGCATTTTTTGTAACTTTCTCCTTCCTTGGCATTTTAGCTCCATCTGATTCCTTGTGCATAGTTTCTGAATGTCAGAAAACCTGGTTTGCTGCAGAGACAAGGGTTAAAGAGGTAGAAATCAGCATTCTGTTCCTCGTCGGCCTCAGAAATTCAGGTCTCCTGTGGTATATATCCTCGTAGCAACTCTGTACCTCTCCCTGGAAGTGCCTTTTATGATTATAAATCATAAATAATTTGTGTATGTGTTTAATCCCTATCTTCTTCACGAGAATACAAGTTTTATGAGGCAGGGACCTCAGTGGACTTATTTGCTGCTTCATCCCAAGAGTTAAGCATAGTCCTTACCCTATAGCTGGCCCTCAGTAAGTACCTGTGGAATGAATTATGACTGGAATGAGGCTTCAGGATGGAAAAATATGTGTCTCCTGTACTGGGGCCCTGGGAGTGGGGTACAAGTTGGTGTCTTGGGGGATTGCCCTGAAGCCCCTCAAGGATGCTTGCTGGAAGAGTGAGCACCAGGGGGACCGGCCCTGGTGCTCCAGTCTCCCCTCTCCCCAGGCTTGGCACATTCAGTCAGCCGTGCCTCCTGTGAAATCCAGTGAGTGGCTCTGAGGCAAAGGAGAATTGCATTCTCCCAGGTCCTCTTCCCCAAGCCTTTCTGTCCTATGTCCCCTTTCTCTCTCCTGCCTGTCTTTCTAGGCTGCTCTCTCAAACTCACATGGAGCCCTTTCCTTCCCCCACTTCACCCAGTCCTGCAGGTGGCCTGACTAACACTCAACAGCAGCTACAGAACCTGTTACAACTGGAGGTCTTCCTGAAAGTGACAATGTTGATGGATTACATCAGGACCACATGTACACTCGGATGTCTGGACTACACTCAGCACGGGGGTGTGATCATGGCCGAGTTGCCAGGCAACTGAAGACTAACTTCCTTTTTTTGTCAATGGTATCATTTGCTCCCATCACCTGGGTTTGATTAGTTGCCTCCACCTGTCCAATCTTCTGTAGAAGGCATGGACAGATGGACATGGATGTTCAGGCGGGTCCTCTAGAAATAGAAAGAAAGCTGAGAGTCTCATTCAAAAAGATTCTCTTTGGAGAGATGGAAGATGCAGAATGTATTCCAGTAGGACTTATATCGGGAGGTGATGGGAAAGAAGTAAAAGGTGCAAGTGGATCATTTTGATAAGGAGGCAAGTCACCCCCCAGCTTGTCTGTGAGGTCCCTGATGTGAGAGCACAAAATGCTGCTTGCTTGGCTTCCTGAGCTTGGACAGCTGCAATAGGACGTTGTATACTCGAACTCCCCAGTGTATCTCGTGAGTCCATTCTGATGTATGAAGAGGCTGGGGCTTGTGGAGGGCCCTGGTGCCTGCTGTGGTGTTTGTTATGAGACAGGTAGGGGAGGATTCTGTCTGACTTAGCCTGCTCAGGTCTGCTTGCTCGGCCTGCCATATTTATTGCTGAAAATTTGCTACTCAAGTCTCAGTTTTTTTGTCAGGCAGATGACTGGTGTTATATTGTGTTATATAAGGTTAAGCTCTTATATGCAGGAATCTTTGTTATAGATAAATGGTTTCTAATGTCTTCCATTGAGAGTCATTGTTATATGACTCCACTGTTACTTATGGAGTGTGTCCTATTATATTTATTGGGTGAAAAAGGTTGAGAATCACTATATAGAATACAGAAGGTGGCTTGCAGCCTATAGAACCTGGACTGGGAACCATCCCAGGGGTCTTTTGTCTAGAAAACAGAAGGAGATTTATCCCAGGAGAACTTACATGGAGAACTTCTTGGGAACTGGGCCACAAGTTTCTTCTATCCTACAGGCTTTGATTACTCTGGGCTCTTTGTCATGGTCTAGTAGATCGGATAACACTGAAAAGGCCGGCTGAGATGGGTGTGCTGTGAAAAGGGAGTACACTGGTGGTGGAAACGGGGTAATCCTCTTCTCAGTGTCTATAAAAGGACAGCATGTGACCCAAATTTTATCCCAGTGAAAGCAATGGGACCTATTCACCAAGTGGGCGTCATGATGAAGATGGGCAACAAGGCTTGTAATGTGGTTATGAAGCTCTTCTAAGAAATATTTTCAATCAAAGACTACTTTTATCATAATCTCAACTGAAACACCATCATTCCATTCTGTTGGCATCAGTTGCGCAGAATGGATATGGACGCAGACAGTTCTGGAATCCTTGAACTTCAGAGAAGATGACTAGCAAGTTCTGGCTGAAGGTACCTACCTTAAGCATGACTTTCCGTGTAGGAGCGGTGTGTCCAAGGAATTAAATTTGTCTTGTGCATTATAGACTTCTATATTCTGTTTTAATCCTAAAACCGTCCTTAAGGTCAGCAGGGCAGGGCTTTATCAGCAATGCTTTGCAGATAGATAAACTAAGTCTCAAAAGAAACTTGCCCAGAACCGTATGATTAGGAAGTTGTTGAGCCAAGAGTTAAACCCGGGAGTTTTGGTTTCAAGTTCAAGCCTCTTGGGTTTTGCTGAATGGGTAAGATGCAGCCTGAACCACAGGACTCCTCCGAAATTGGTGGCCCTTACTAGTGGGATATGGTCACTTAGGAAAAGTCAAGTGCCAGCAGACATTTGAGGATATGGAGAACTACTGGACACGAAGTCGTCAGGAGCTCCCACTTGATTGCCACATTTGCAACTTCTTGAGTTAAGACTAAACATCCTAGGAATGAAAGGCACCTTTGGAGAAAACTCCTCAAGCTATATTGCGTCACCTGTGCCCAGGGGCACTGTGGGTAGTCCCACCCACGTGGAGAATGCTCTTCTGGGCAGGGAAAGGCCATGCTGCCCAGTGGGTCCCTGTGAATGAAGCAGTCCAGCTCTGCTGTGAGCTCTCAGGGATGGGGGTCTGTCCATGATGAGCCTCCTTGAGTCCATCCAAATCCTCACTGGCCAGTGGCCGCCCTCAGAATACAAAATTACCTCAAAGGAATCAGAAACCACCTGTTCCTCTCCCTGGACCATACTACTAGCTTCCTATTCATTACCTCCTCCAGCCTGTAGTCGGGTTCTGCAAGCCAGGGGTCCTCTTGGAATTGTTTGAAAAGCTGCTGGGTGAAAGGCAGCAACTCCAGTTTCCTAACTATCAGCAGATTTCACACAAAATGGCCAGAACTGGGCGGTTCCTTATCCTTTGTGTTCCTGAGGAAACAAGCACCCTTGAATGTGTCTCCCTAGCCAGCACAATGGAGAGATAGGAATGCCTCTGTCCGGGAGAGTTCACTGAGAGGCCTTAGCTCCAGCCCAGAGATTCATTCCCTTCACAGTGTCTGGGCCTGAGGCAGGAGATCCGCACAGCAGAGCTGCGGGTAGGATAGTTGCTGCTCTTTCAATCCTGTCTCAGATGTTGGGGTGCTCTTATTTATCAAGAAGCTGAACCCAGCCCTGAGTTATCTGGGATCAGGATCTCTTTCTGGGGACACTCAAGACTGGTGATTTCCAGCAGGCTGATGTTTTACCGAGTGTGAAGGTGGGCTGTGGGCCAGGGCGGCAATAGAGTAGCCCAGATGGGGAGCCAGGAGCTGGAGAGGGGACAGCCCCCTCCAGCCATCAAGGAGGACATCACTACCTGTGCTTGCAGGGCCAGCCCCGTTCTGGGCCACAGCACATGCTGTAGGTGAGCCAGGGCAGGTGATCAGAAGCTAGAGCGGGGCGTGGGCAGGGATGTGCTTGGGGGCACATGCTAGGATTTTAATTCAGAGGCCTGAGACTGGAAAGAAAGCAGATCAGTCCTGATGGCTCTCATATTTCCATTTTGTGCTCATGCTTACAGATCTGCTAGGTCCAGTACTAAGCAGAGCCATAAATCAGATTTTCAACTGAGCTGGGTTATCCACCCCACTTAAGGAATCCAAGTCACACTGTCCTTGCCTTTTGCTCTCTGATCCATCCCTCTGATCAGGGTTTAGCCTTTTCCCTAGGCTGAGCCACATACCCTCCCTATTGGTGTGGCTTACCCATGACAGGGCAGGTCTCAGAAGAAAGGACACAGACAATCCAGATTGTACAGCCCCTGTCCCCCACTCATGAGGGGGCAGGCGCTCTGCCCTCAAGTGTCTGAAACACAGGCGCCTCCTGCCACTGCCCTTTCTCCTGGCTATAAGGGGTGGGGTGAAGCTGGGGAGCCCACCTTCTCCACACCACTGGGGACAGCTCAAGGTGAGACATCAAAGGAGTCTCAGACACACTGGCACTTTTTGGTGTCCCCTCCCAGCCTTGGTCCCCATCCCAGTCCATGGCGGCCCTTTCAGGAGCTTTTGGTGGAAATTAGCTCAGCCTTGCAATGGGGCCTGCCAGCCTCCCTCTTCTCCTAGTCTTTTCATTGCTCTTTCATCACCTCTTCTGTTGGAATAGGGACCATCCCTACAGGCCCTGTGTGCAGGCTGCCTTCCCCTCCCAACAGCGTTCACCTCCTTAACCCCTCCTTCCACCCCCCATCTTTACATCTTCCTCCTATTCCCCTCTCCCCCTCACCAAACCCCTGCCTCCCAATTCCCTCCCACCACCCTTCTTCTTGTCTCCTGAGACTTGCAGCCAGAGGGAGAGAGAGAGAGAGCGCGCGCCTGTCGGCCGCCACCTGCTCATCCTGTCTGCTCCCTCCCCTGAGCAAGTGGGCACAGATTTCCCCTACAAAAGGCAGGAGGCAGAGGCTGCAGAGGTCAGCTGCTCTCACACTCCCTTTCCTCTGCCCTCTGCTGGCTGCGCTGAGCTGTGTCTTCGCTCCCTCTTTCTCCAGGTGAGAGAGGGAACCTAGGTGCCAGGTCCCCCACCTCATTCCCCATGAATGCTGCGAAAAGTCCCGAAAGGCAGGAGCTGCCAAAGCCTGAGAGCGAGCCTGGGACAGCCCTGCCTGCAGTGGTCCCCCCTCCCCACACGGGAAGCCGAGGATCTGCACCATCTCCAGTGCGGTGCCTCCCCAGCCTCAACCCAAGAAGCCTGAAGACGGTGCTCTGCAGAAGGCACACGGGCCCCTGCAGTCCAGCTGCTTTGCTCTCACACTCCCTTTCCTCTGCCCTCTGCTGGCTGCGCTGAGCTGTGTCTTCGCTCCCTCTTTCTCCAGGTGAGAGAGGGAACCTAGGTGCCAGGTCCCCCACCTCATTCCCCATGAATGCTGCGAAAAGTCCCGAAAGGCAGGAGCTGCCAAAGCCTGAGAGCGAGCCTGGGACAGCCCTGCCTGCAGTGGTCCCCCCTCCCCACACGGGAAGCCGAGGATCTGCACCATCTCCAGTGCGGTGCCTCCCCAGCCTCAACCCAAGAAGCCTGAAGACGGTGCTCTGCAGAAGGCACACGGGCCCCTGCAGTCCAGCTGCTGCCTCCAGATCCCCCGCATCATCAGAGGTACCTGGAGGGGCAGGAGGGGAGTTCTCCTGGGATGCTGAAGTCATGAGAAAAGGTCACCTAAAAACATCTGGAGTGGGGAGATGTGAGCTGAAGGAGAGGTGGACCCCCAGTGTCTCTTTGGAGTTTATGAATTGTCTGTTAGAGCTGAATCCTCCGAAACACAGGTGCCAGTCTAGTGGTCCCCTAGAGGTGGAGCAGTCATCTCTGAGGGGCCACAGTCATTTATTAGGGGCCCAGAAGGGTATGTGGGAGCTGGTTTGAGGGAGGGCATGGTTATGATGATACCCTAGACTGCCCCATCTCGAACAAAGACCTCCTTTCTGCCCCTTCATCCCTGTGACCCAAAGCCTTTGCCCACCGCTGTCTTCCTCAGGCTGTTTGATGGAGGAGGGCAGGCATGGGTGTGGAAAGACAGCCAGATTCAGGAAGAGATAAGGTGATGGATGAGGGAAGGGGCTGGAGAAGAAATGGGGGGTAAAGCCCAGGGGCTGTGGGTGGGGTAACCTGGAGGGACCCTGATGTCAGAGTCCCAGGCATCTCTCCGCTGCCCCTTAGGACTCTGGGGAACAACCCTGACTGAGAACACAGCTGAGAACCCGGAGCTTTACGTCAAGACCACCCTGCAGGAGCTTTTGGTGTACATTGTGTTCCTGGTGGACATCTGTCTTGGTGAGTAGCACCTGTCTCTCTATATGTCTGTCTGTGAGAAGCATCCGTGTGTACCCGATGTACTTATCTCTGTGGGCAACATCTGTGGGGACAGTGTCCATCTATTTGAGCAGGCTGTGTCTTGGGATTTTTATATCAATAATAAAATTCTATTTATTACCTTTCCAGCTTAAGAGGTTTTGATTAAAAAGACTTCAGGAGAAGAAGGCAGATTGTTAGAAAGCTGTTAATGAAAGTTTCTTCATCAAGTTACAAGGGGAATACAGTTTTTAAATTAAAGCTCCTGACACCTGCTTAGCAGCCACTGTTTTCTATTGGCTGATGGAAGTTTTTATCCTATTGCAAAGAGTGGAAGACCACCCCTTCCTGCTGGGAAAAAAATAGTTTGGTGGTTTTCACATAGTTATTATGCTCTGTCTGATCCATGCTGCTTTGGAGGCAGGGAAAAAAGATTCAGGGGGCCTTAGGGCTCAGATCCTTGATAAAAGGGTTAAAGATGCAAATGGTGTGGTAGTGGTCAATGCAACTAAGGTTCTCCCATGTGAGAGACCACCATGCCACAGGCATTGAGAGAAGCTTATCTGAAACTCTAGCTTTAGGAACAAACTGGGAAGGTTTGGTTTCTAAGTTGAGAGAAGCAAGTAAAAGGATAGAGTCAAAGAATTGTAGATGATAATAAAGCTGAACCAAACAGATGCTGTAAGGCCTATAGATAAGGGTGCTTTGTACTTAGTTGATTGCTTCTTTAGAAACTTGCACCACAGGCAAATTTTGTCTAGTTTCATAGAGCTATATGTGTATATCATGCATGATTAAAGTTGCAGCTTGGATCTTACAGAAGGTGTCTCCATTGCTAGGTGGCCTTAATACTCCACAGAAGGCTGTGTTCTTTTTAGGATACATGAATCTTTTGAAAGTTGAACATGAAGATCTGATAATATAAGTATTGATGGGAAATTTCATCACCGTTGTGAGCCACCCACATTTGTGTGGTACCACAACCTTTAGGAGAGCTGAGCAGAAAGCACTTGCTTCTGGCTGTACTCTGTTGGAACTCCCTCTATGAAGATAAAGAGGGCAGTTCTGAAGTTTATCACAGGCCATCAGCACAGAGTGAAAGGAGGCAGAGTGTGTGCAGAGCAGCAGTCCACCTGGTGTACATTCTGTGGGGCCCATTTGATTCCTTTTGGCAAATGACTGACTATCCGAAGTTCATTTGCTGACATACTGATTTTTCGTCTTAACCATCTGCTAGGAAGGAGTGTTCCTCTCCTATTTCCAGATCCCATGACAGCAGCTAAAACTCACAGGCAGAGCCTTTCTCTATAAATGAGCTTAAGGTCTCCATTTCCAGATTAGCCTTTAGAGCAAGATTGGGAGGTTTTTAGCTCCCAGAGTTAAGGTGACAATTTATGACTCTTCTGTGTGGGGGTTGAGGGTACAGTTTGGGTTCTGGAAGCCCAAACTTAGATATTACAATAGTGCCTACATGTTCTCCAACTTTTTAGATCTTTGTGTACTGATGAATGATAAGTGGTCTGTGTTTTGTCAGTCTGAGTCATGGATTCAGTCCAGCAATTACAGAACCCTGGAGTGGCCAGGAACTTTGGAGGTCATCTAGTTCAACGATGCAGAAGCGCCTTCTCTGTGATCCCTTCTTTGATGCTCCATCAGGTGCCTAACCAGCTTCATCCTGGGGAGTATCCTTGGGGATTTCAGAGTTTCCTGGGGAAGTGCATTCTACTCTTGGGCAGCTCTATTTCCTTCCATCTATGGAGTCCCCTCCTCATGAGGCAGGTGTTAGTGGGACACAGGCAGACAGAGCTCAAGCAAGGTCCAGGTAAGGCACAGGCAGAAGAGAACTAGGGTCAAGGCTTCACAGTTAACAAGAAGTCTCATCCTGGACATCTGGGAAAATCAGCCTGGGAAAAAGGGGAGTTTTTATTTTCCTTTGATCCTTTGTGCCAGACAATTGGGCTTGAGAGATATAGAGATGATGGATTCTTGGGCATTTCCAGGGCCCACCTTCTCATTTTTAGAACTTATTTCTTCTGTTGAGGCATCTATTTCTCTGTTACTCTCTGAAATGACTCTATAGCTGTTTGAAAAATATAGTGACCATGTTTTCCTTGGTCATCTGTTCTCCAGATAAAATACTTTCTGATTTCTCACGAAACCAGTCATTAATATGGTTTCCAGAGGTGGTATTATGCAGACATTGAAGGCATGGGCTCTGAGTTTTCTCACACCTGAGTTCAAACACCATTCTTTACCACTTACTGGTTGAGAGGACTTGAGCAAGTTGATACTTCTCTGAATTTCAGTATCCTCATCTGTACCTGCCCAGTCCAATAGGATTTTGTGTCATTTACATGAGATAATATCCATGAAGTCACTACCTCGATGCCTGGCATATGGTAAAAAATATTCTGTAATGCTCATCATTCTGGCTGCCTGTCTCCAGAACTGATCTATATGATGCTCAGTACTGCAAAATACTCCATGGGTGTCTGACCAGGAGTTCTGTGATGCTATCACTTCAGTTGTTTCGGGATTCAGGGAGTCTTCAAAGATATGCAGAGGAAGTGATGTCTGGACTAAAATCTAAAAGATGAGGTGGATTTAGCTCCTTGAAAGGGAGTGAAGAAAAGAGAAGTTTCTGAGAAGAGGGAACAGCATATACCAAGGCCTAGAGGTGACGGAGGACACAGTTTAGTGAAAAGTGCATTAGTGTGGCAGGAGTTTGAAGAACAAAGTGTTAAAGGTGTTGAGGCTGGCCATATAAATAGGGGCAAGTCACAAAGTCCTTATAAGGTATGATAAGGAATTCAGATGCTATCCTGAGGGTTCTGCAGAAAGCATAGTAGTGACATGATAAATTTTTAGTTCTTATCATTTTAGATCTTGGGTCACAGGGTTTCTCTGGGAAAGTTGAATGGAGAAGATGATGGTCCTATGCTAAGCGTATTAATGGGATATTTTATTTAACCCTCACAACAACATTAGCAGGACCATGAGTCAATTTGGTGGCAGTTAAACATACTGGTTAAGCATTAGGGCTCTGAAGCCCCAGTGGGTTCCAAGTCTGGCATTTCCAATTATCAGCTCTGTGATCCAGAGCAAGTTTGCAAACTTCTAGTCTTGGATAATTATCATACCCAACTGATAAGATTATTATGAAGGTTAAATATGTGCTAAGCCAACTAATATACTTAGCACAGCACCTAATACGTGGTAAATAGTATCTATTGTTATTTTCCACTCACAACAGACACTATAAACTGCAGTGTTATAAACCCAATCAAAAGTGGAGGGTATGGGAGAAGTAACTTGCTACCTTTAAACCTCTGAAAGCCTCTAACTCCTATGGAGTTGGGCTCTTAGTAAAGACCCTGAAATCACCAAACTACCTGAAGATGCACCATTAACTGTCTTTGAGTTTGAGAATTGAAGATCCTATCCACAAAGTGCCAACTCCCTCAAGAACTTTCTCATGAAAGACAATTTGGAGGCCTTTACATTCTTACGGCTCCTAAACATGTAGTAAAATAGTACTAATACCAGTTTCCATTCTCTTCCAGCCTCTTCCTTCTTCCAGGCAAATCTTGAGATAACATTGAGCCTTGGCCATATCTCAGTGGGGCTGCTTTGGCACTCTCCAAGGTCCTGACCTTACCTCCCTCACATCCAAACTCCCAGTCAGCCAACCTGAGCTCTGCCACCTGCAGCTAGACTATATATTCTTGGTGCGGACGATATCCCCCAAACAAGGGAATGGAAATAGTTTCTTGGAGGGCCAAAAAAACCTTAGGTATTGCAATAGTTCTTGGTCATCTAAAGGCCATAACATACATGTAGTAGTAAAAGTTAACTGGGTTTGGGGAGTGATTAGGAAGAAAATGTCTAAAGAGTTTCCTAAATTGGGAAATAATGAGAAAAAAGGTTAGGAAATATTGAACTAGACCCACCTAATTTTGCTAGTCAGTGCTCACTAAGCTCTCCTACCTAAGGGTGGGGATTCAAATCCTGGCCATAGAATGTGATACAAAGAAGGGTGGCTATTATGTCACTCTGTCAGGATGCTGTCTTCTAAGAGCTGCTGTGTCCTGTAGTTGAATGTGTACCTTTACCAGTGAGCTTTTCCCTGTCAGCTCCTGTGACAGGTTCAGATGCTCCAGGATCCATATGTGGTACAGGTCAATGCTGTGGTGCAGTGGAAAGATACGAACCTTGGAGTCAGATGAACTGTATCTGAGTACCAGCTCTGCCACTTACTGGTTTTGTGACTTTGGTTACTTTCTTGTTGGTAGAACAAGGATAATAATATTTGTCTTAAGAAGATAACATGTATAAAGTATGTAACACAATCACTCGTAGTAATTACCTTTGTATTATCTAGTAGAATTTCAAAATACTCATTTGGTCTTCTAGGCTGGTTTTAAAAAATACCTTTCAAGAAAGAAGCAAATCTGAAAAGCTTACATATAATGTGATCCTAACTATATGACATTCTGAAAAAGGCAACACTATGGAGACAGTAGAAAGATCAGCGGTTTCCAAGGTTTGGGGAGTGGGATGGAGATGAGTATGTGGAGCACAGAGAATTTTATGGCAGTAAAGTTACTCCGTATGACGCTATTATGGCAAATACATGTCATTATACATTGGTCCAAACCTATCGAATGTACAACACCAAGCATGAATACTAAAGTAAGGTATGGCATTTGGATGATAATGATATGTCAACATAGGTTCATCCACTGTAACAGATGTACCACTCTGGTGCAGACATTGATAGTGGGGAAGACTGTGCATATGTGGAGGCAAGGGTTGGTATATGGGAAATCTCTGTACCTTCCATGCAATTTTGCTTTGAACCTAAACTGCTCTAAAAAATAAAGTATTTTTAAAAATCTATTAAAAATATCTTCCAGAGTTTATAGTTGGCTCCACATATAGGGGTCATTTGAACAGTGTTCACTTCTGATGTTAAACCTTCA